CGGAAAGTAATGCAGTTGTCGACCGCAGTGCACTACACTGGACGGAGGGTGGAGTAGTCTCTGCCGCTCCACCACCGACAGGTGCGCCGCGATGGCTTTGCAGGCTTGCCAATAGCGAAAGGCTGCAGCCATGGGCTCGGGGCGCGCGGAGGTAGAAAAACGGGCGCGTCGTCGCCGTGCGTCGCCAGCGTCCGATCCGGCAATGGAGCACGACGTCGCGCGTGCCTTACTCCCATCACGAAGCCTCCCGGTCTCTCTCGCACCCGTGAGGGGCCGAAGGGTGCGAGAGAGACGGAGCGACGACAAGCGATCGCCGACTCAGTGAGCGGGCATGCACACGCGGAGGCAGGCAAACCCCTTGGCGAAATCCTTTTTCGTCGCAAAGTGTTCCGTGAGGAATGCGAAACTCAGCCTCGACTGGGAACGCGCTCTTTGGCGTGCGGGAAAATGCTCTCTTGGCTCGCGGGAAAATGCTCTCTGCTTGCGGAAAATGCTCTTGGCTTGAGGATGCGCTTCGCTTGGGGAAATGCTCTTGGCTGCTCTAGCTTCTCCCCCCCCCCTTTTCATACACCCTCACACAGACACACACACACACACACACAGAGCCAATAATTGACAACGACTGCGAGCGTAATGCCCAATGTGCATGCTGTGTTCCGGTCTGCGCGCCACGCCGCGCCACGCCGCGCGGTGCCGCCGCCCCGCCGTGTCACACTCAGGCACCGTACACATCTTACATGTGGAGCAAGTACCGCACTCCACTCAGTGGGTGCCATACCGTTTACCGCTACCGGCTCAGCAACAACAAGAGCAGCAACAACAACAGAGACCCCACCCCAGCGCCTCCCCGTGTAACTTCGTTGACACCACAAAGGGCTCGGCCAGAAAAAAAAAGAAAAGAGAGAAAAGAAAAATGAGGAAAATGGTTTAATTCCCTCCTTTTCGTGTCTGGTTCTGGCGGCCAGCCTCCCAAATGTGACCCCAGTGACCCCCGCTCCTAACAATGGACTTTCACCGGCGCGCGACAAGTACCCCGAGCGAAGGCTACTCGCCGAGTCGGTGCGTGCGCGAGTGTGCGCGCGAGCGAATGTTTAAATTCGTCTCCCCCTCTCCTCGTGACCAGGGCGCGGGAAATTTGAAAAGGTGGGAACCGCCGCCAGCAACAACAGCAACACGTCGTACTCCTATCCCAGATAGAGGAGCCATAGATCAAGCCGGCGCCGCTACATCGGTGGCGACATTGCAATCTTTTTTTACGATCTGAGCTGCCGAGGCGAGTAACGAAGCTAGCGAAGCTACACGCTACCATTTCAGCCCGTAGCCCTTTACGCCCTCGACTTTGTTACACTTTACGCCGTTTTAAACCGACCGGCGCTGTCCGCGGGGCGCTTGGCTGCCCGCTTGCCCGTGGCCGCGCGGCGACTCAGCCACGCGGCGACGGCCAGCCGGTATTTAGGTCTTCGCACCCGGTGCGGCTCACGGCGACAGACGCGGACAGACAGACAGACAGACAGACAGACAGCATTTCGGAGGCAGCGGCGACGCGGCTCACCACACAGAGCAGAACAGGTGGGGGACAGCCCTGCCGGCCCAGCTGCCCCGCCGCGGCCTGGACAAGGACAGCAAGGACTCGGAACTGTCCCCCTCGCACCCCCTGCTGGAGCGCCGCGAGTGCGAGAGAGACAGAGCGATGACAGCGCTGCTCGGCCTGCAGTGTGCCATGGCGGCCGTGGCAGGGCGCCGCGTAATGTCCCACTGTCCCAGTGGTCCACTGGCCAGGGCCGAGCCGCGGCCGGTACACCACGCCCCGCCCCGCCCCGCCCCGCCCCGCCACGCCGAGGATGGCTGAGTTGAGTAACGCGTGCATAATTGTACCTGATGGGACGTGGGAGGAGGAAGGCCCGGCTGCTTGCAGGAATTTCGACTTCTCAGGAAGGTTGTCCGTCGGCTGGGTGATCGTTTTCTACCGGCGTACTTTCAAAAAACGGTGGTGGAAGTTGCAGCGATTCGGGTCGCAGAAGGTGCTTCTAAAGTGCTCTAAAATTCGCGTGAGTTGCCAAGGCCCAAGGTGGTCCCTCCGAAACCAAGAGGCTTTCCTGTGTGGATCGAGCCGACTTGAGCGGGAGTCGAACCGGCGTCCTGGTGGGTGCTTCTGGGTGGGCGTTCGCACGCGACGCGCACGGCACGGCGGCGAGGTGCGCGGAGTGGACCTGGTGTGGACGCGGCGTGGCGGCGAGGCGCCTCGCTGTCATGTCCAGGCGATAAGCGTGCCTCCTTTCAAGCCCCCCAGTAGCCGGTCCACCGGTCCGCCCGGCCCGGCTCGGCTAGGTCTAGGTGGCCCGGCCGGTGGCGGTGGCCGTCCGCGGCCAAGGCTCTGCCTCCGGCGGCCGCGGCGCGGAGATCAGGGGCAAGCCAGGGGTGGATCAGGGTCGAGCGCGGTGCCAAATGGGGCAGCGTACGCCACGAGTCGCATGAGTCTCGCCACTCCACGCTGGAGTCCCCGGCGGCCCGCTGGAGGCAAGGCTTGAGGAATGGAAGGGGCATATGCGGCGGGGCAGCGCGGCGCAGGGCCGGGCCGGCAGGGCAGGGCGTGTACAACAGGTCCCGTTCCTGCACTGTGCAGGGCCGGCAGGGCCTGCCCAGATGCATCGGCCTCGCGCCTCGCCGCGCCCAGCCGCTCCCCTCCTTGACCTGCGCTTCATACGTTCGCCCCGTGATTGCGGCGCGCCCCGCCCCGCCCGCGCCATAATGTAATTGTGCTTATGCCATTGCTTGCGGGCGGCCGGGGCGGCGCGCGACGCGGGCGATCTAGCGAGGCGGGGCCATGCATCGCGGCAGTTCGCTAAATGGAGTAATTATCTGAAAGCACCTCTCAGGAAGATAAGCAGTTAATGCGCACACTTCCCCTCCCCTCTCTCTTCCGTCCGCGGCACCCGTTCCTGATTTCGCCGATGCCGACCGAGACGGGACGACAGGGTCTTTAATTTCGGCCAGCTGCTCCGTTCCGAACGGCGCTATCTCGTCGCGCCGTCTCTCTCGCTCTCCCTCTGACCGCCCCACGAGTGCGAGAAGGACGCAGCGATGGCTCGCAATCTGGACCGACCTCCCGCGAGTACACTGCTGTCGGACGTGAGGGTTGGGACGCGCTGCGGCTGGGCTGCACCCCGGTTTTTGAGGCAGTGGCCGAAGAAAAGCCGAGCAACCAACCACCCCCTGAAAAATAATGTTTCCTGCCGGCAAGCCGCGAGCAGCCACGCCTGTTTGAGAAATTGAATTCCCCGCGCAAACTTGAAGAAAGCACGCACCACACCGCGCCCAGTCGCAGTGTGGCTGCGAGGGCAGCTAATCTCCATAAAGTAGGGCTGTGACGGTGACTGGGCCGGGGGAGGGGGATCGAAGCAAAGCACGCAGATGCACCTGTTACCCAGCTCACGGCGATTTCATGGTCTTTGGCTGCGAGAGGCAACGGCCCCGGCGGCCCGGCGCGGTCACCCACATACCTAGAGGACGTCTTCGGAGAACCGGGGGGGGGGGGGGGGGGGCACAAAGACGCACAGACGTACCGCCGTCGACGTCTTCCTCAGATCACGCGCGGATAAAAATTCCAACTTCCCGCTTATGGCCGCAGATCGGCGACGGGATAACTAGACGGCGAAATCCCGTCCTAATAAATGGAAAACGGAGGGGACATTTCGCCTCCCACTTTTATGTCGACGTCCCTGTTTGCAGTCTCAAAGTGCCGTCGCGAGAACGTTTCAGCTCCGGGTGATGAGAGCGGGCTAGCGCCTGCGAGGTAGGCCACCCATCGGGCCCGCAACACACCGCTGTGGAGACGGTGGCCTACCTCGCCCCTGTCAGCGCAAGGAGCAGGGTAGGCCACCGTCTCCACAGCGGTGTGCCGCGGGCCCGATGGGTGGCCTACCTCGCAGGCGCTAGACACCTCTCCCGCCAAAACGAAGTGCCCGCAACAGGGTTCGTTTTCGGCCGCCGTTCCTCCGAGGGATCGTTGCGTCGCTCTGTCTCTGTCGCACTCATGGAGCGCCCCGTGGGAGTGCGAGAGAGACAGAGCGACGCAACGAGCTGGGGGGAACTGATGAGGCGGGCGCGGGGCGCTGCAGAGTTAAGTGCCAAAGTGCCCCATTCCATTCCATGCCATTCCCTTGTGTGCGAAGCTGTTTCGCCGTTCCTCGGTCCGGCTAGCCGGCTAGCTGAGCTGCCTGTACACTGTAGGCTCGGGTACTCACTTGTTCCAAACAATCGCACGGACCGGTGGCCAGTCGGTGGCGCGCCAGCGGTATAGGGCAGGGCCGGCAGGCCGATTCCGAGCAGGGCTTTCTTCGCATCCTTCTCTCTCGCACCCCCGCGCAACGCCCCACGAGTGCGAGAGAAACAACAGGCTAGTGCAGGGCAGAGTGCGGCCGGCAGACGCAGACAATCAGCCACAATCAGGTGGGGCCGCACCGCGGTCCTGCCGAAGCCCCCGGCCCGGCCGGCTGCCTCCAGGTCCAGCCCTGCCCTGCCCCGCAGCCCCTCGGAACGCAGCAACGCACAGCAACGCAGCTAACGCCTAGCGCGGCACAGAAAGGAGGGCGCGATGGTTTAGTGTAACAAGCAGACAAAGCCAGCGTCCAGTCCGCGGTCCAGTCCGCAGTCCGGCCCGCAGTCCGGCCCGCATCCGCAACGGGCTGCAGGCTGGAGAATCCGAGGCCCGCGCAGCCCCACAGCCCGCGCGGATCGAAGATCGAACTCGACTCAACTCGCCGAGCGGACCAATGACAGGAGAGAAAGACGCGCTCACACACACACACACACACACACACGCGCGCGCAACGCGCCGGCCGGATCATTGTTCCTGACTGCGATCTTATCAGATAATCCAATAACGACACGGGGCGCCGCAACAAGCGAGAGAAGCTAGTTGCGCTGCAGCCTGCAGCCCCCTTCTCTTCACATCGGCGTTTCCAGTGCAGTGTGCCGGGGTGAAGGAATAACCCAGGAGACTTGTTTCGTTTCGGTTTTTATTTGAACGTCCATCATCATCATCGTCGTTATCACCGTCATCAACAGTCGTGTTTATAATCCATTCTGCCGCTGTACTGCATACTTCTTAGAAAAATAAAATTTATAGATAAAGTACTCTACACACAAGGTTCACAATAACCCTCAACGCCACCACAAAGGCCACAAGGAAATGCAAAAGAAATGCACAACGGATTACATAATTATAATTATCAGGTGTAGTAGTGAAAGACCTTACTTGCTGAATAAACAATTATAAAGGCAGTTCAATCACATATCAAACAGACACTGCATTTTAAATGCACATTGCCCTTCAGGAAAATAAAAATTGCAACAGGTTGCACTTCCAAACTAGTCATAGAGTATTTGTAGAAGTGTCTCAAAGTTAAAAAGACAAAACATACAGTAACAAAAGAAAATAGAAAGGTACTTGATAGCGTAGTTATAGTTACCTATGTGTAAAATATGGTATATATTACATCATAGGAAAGAACAATAAGTATACAGAACAGGTATGAAAGGAATTAAAATCAGAACCGATCTGATGAGAATCAAATATAAATAAAAATACTTACCATCCCAACAATTCTGAAAAAATTGACACTACAACCAACACTGAATGTACAATGCATGCAGCATTTTTCACTTGCATGCCATTCGTAATGAAAATAGATGAGGCCTAATCAAGTCTTAGCTGTATGTACTAACCTTGCTAAATAGAACCCCCTCAAAATAAAATATAACTACAACAATAGGACCTAAGTCACATGCAACATAAAAGGCAAACAACATGTTTAAAAAAATCTTGATATATCTTTAAGCAAGTCAATGAGCAAAGTCTTCTGACATTGATGGTATTACAACCCAACCCAAAGTAGGTGCTATTGAGCTAGATAGTTACAATGGTGCAATTCAAGATCACATGTAGCACAGAGAGCAGACTTTTTCTGAACATCAGAGGAACAATCATTTGAAGAACTTTGAACTGAATCGACATTAACAATGACAAAAGTTGATATGGTAGGAAATAAAATAAAAGTCATAGAATAATTAAGCTTGATTCACATTGCATACTGATGTAACATGTTTTATCTGTAAAATCTCATAAACCAGTGATAAATTTGTGAGTTTTGATTTAACAACAAGTGGTTCAAGTAATTTATCACTAAGTTTTCTTGGCACATAAATCTAAGTGTTTTATGAACGCATATGTCTCCAGGACAGTAATTGCAATGGACAAAAAGTTCAAGCATTGTCACACACTTCATAAGAAAGAAAATAAAAATCAGGCCATAGGAACTTAATAGCTATAAACAGAGCATTAAAATACAGAAATATCAGCAGATCTTATAAAATATCAAAGGCATTGTTAACAAAAATACCCACTAAACAGGACCCGCCTGTAAAAATTGAGAATTTCTGTGCTATCTTAATTCTTATAAGAACTCCACACCTGGGTCTTTTATGCTGCGGCATCCAGAGTGTGCACATATATGATAATTAACATTGACTTTTCCAGCAAGTCATGTTATGTCATTTCATTTAAACTTTTTCCTGCGAGGTAAACATGCACATCCTCCAACCGGACTAGTGGCTGGGCTTAAACTGAAGGGAAGAGGCACAGGACTTTCATCCTCATCAGAAGTTAATTCCGCAGTCTTGCAGTCTGATAAGTCTCTATCAATGGAAGCCCTTTGTCAGCTTGCCTTCAAAACTATCCGTAGGTCCTCGGGCAGAGAGGTGACAAGATCGGATAATCTCATTTCCAACCTCTCTCGAGTTGATTCACCGAGAACAGGTTCAGAATCTGGAGGCGCCTGCAACCTTTGGCGTATACGAAGAACCATATCAACAATTTCCACTTCTTGTTTACCTCTGACCCATAACTTCAAATCCTGGAGAAGAATGAGTAATAGCAATTACTAATACAAATCTGACTAGATAATCCACAGTAATCAACCTTCTGATAAACTTACTGCATCTGAGAGGGCCTCCAGTTGCAACAGCTGTAACTTTTGAGTGACCTCTCGATAACGAGCATTGAACCAACCACTGAAATTAGGAGACCTAAAAAATCTTTTGTACAGGCCTACCCAGTCCCCTTTTATTCCAGTGGTAAGCTGGGGCCCAGCTGTGCTCAGTGCAGCAAAGAAATCATCCGGATTAAATGGCCTTATTGAGGGAGGAGCCTGTGAACAGTGTAGCTCAAAGTTAGCTAAAATAAGTACAAGAAACCCAAAATACCTGAGAAAAGAAAAAGGCAAAACAGAAGAATAACAGTGACATACCTTGTACGGAGAAATATTTTTGTGCAAAGGCATGAGACTTGCCATGTAACGTTCAAGGGGGATCATAAAACTTTGAGTCAATTCAAGAAGATGTCTACGCAACAAGGCACTCTGAACTTCATCTGGCCTTTTGTTCTCAGTGCCTTTCATTAGTTTCTTCAATATAGCTTTATCTTTTTGCAAAAATGGCTGGTACTGTGTGTATACTCCAGGTTTTGAATCCAGCATCTTCATATTGGTACCTTTCTTTAGTTTGTGTTTCTGAGCAGCAACTGAAATTTGAGTTTTACACATTTATTATTTTTAGCTACAATAATTTTAATTAATTCACTGAAAAATGAAGTTGACACTCACTGCTGTTTGCCTTGGGTGAATCACAGATCCTGATAATGTGAGGCCAGTGATGCAAAGTCTTTGCAAAAAATGGATTGGTTACTCCCAAAATCACTGGTGGGGGTGCATGAGCTCGAGTGGTGTATTCCTTGAACTCACTATCATGTATGGTAAAATATGGCCGAAAGTCGGCACAGTACATAAGAGGGGTTATAACACTGAAAACAAAATCAAAGAGGACTGCTGTAGTAAACACTCAACAAATTTAAACACTACAGATGCAATTGACAGCATTGTTAATCACAGTTTAAATTAGGATGTTTACCTGACAAGGGCTTGCACCATATCAGAGCATGTGGTGGGCAATGAGGCCATAACAACAAGGGGCTCTGCTGTCAGCACAAGTTCCCACAGCAAATGTATGTGAGATACGACCCCAGAAAAACAGTTGAACAAATTGACCTCGTGAGGGGTTGGAAGAACGGTGACTGACATTAATGATGCAGGCATCTCCACAGGCAAGGTGTTTGGCCCCGGAAATGGTGATAAGGAACTGATGGATCCTGGCATATCCTCTGAAGTTGGTGTCAAGGCATTCGGGGAGTGCCCATTGGTTTTGCTGTTGTTGCTTGGTATGTGCGTCTGTAATTTGAAAAAATTGTTTTAAATTAATGTTGATACAGACTTACAAAATTACACATGGTGGCTTCTTACACATACCTGAATAATCATACCCAGAAGTGGCAAGCTTACAGTCTCTCCTGGAACTGGGCAGGGCCAGCGATCAATCTCACTGCATGCTGCCTCAATACTTGCTTCTCCACAATTGAAGTATTCCGGAGATATCAGAACACTAACTTTGGTGAACAAGCTTACAAATGGTAATCGGGAAATAATGACAACACTCTGAAAACAAATCCAACCCGCTGATAAGCTCATGAGCTCAAAGATATGAAAGCGTTTTAAAGAACAGCTTATTAGATCTCACCTTTTGAAAGTAGCCTCGAGGGATGGTCTTATCTTTGACCTGCCTAAAGTAGACATATCCGTAGAAGTAACCCGACTGGATTTGGAGATAAGCAGGACACTTTTGATTATATGCACGATGCTCTGGTCTGAGAGGATGTCTTCCAGGCGCTTGTCTGATTCTCATATGGAACTGAGTGTCACCCATGCAGCCAGAATTTGAATCGGGGAAGGCAAGATAGCAAATATTTGTCTTCTCTTGTTCTGATAATTTCACATGCCCAGGGTATATTACCTACAAGAAAAGAGTCACAGAGCAATAGGTTAAACGACGTTGAGTAAGAGAAAGCTGAGCAAGCTGAAAACCGAATGAAAAAGGTAGTGAAACGTAACAATTAAAAATGTACACAAGAGACATGATTTCTAAAAGCCATTGAGAAAGTCCAGCTTCTGATTATATTGGTAACCTGACATTACCTCCATTGCCTGGCCAAGTTCTAGGTCGAATGTAACAATACATATGCAATGTATCCAGCTGGAAAAGCGATCCCAGGGCAAAAGGGCTGATGCATGGTTTTCGTCTCGAGAAAAGTTACAGCTAGGACCTCCAGGTTTGGTCGACATATTATTTAATTCTGCCATATTTCGAACATTTCATCAAACAGCGTCTGCAACTAACTGTGTTATTGTTTTCACGAGCAGCGACGTCCGGAACTTGGGGTTGAACAAGGCGGTGACTTGGAATGTTTTGATTATTTTGGGCTGGGTTGTTCGTGGAAGATGGGAGGAACCGATGGACGCAAAATTTATCTTTTCTTACTACGTAACATGTGATGATGGCAGTAAAAAGCAGCGTTCCTATCCCATCTATTTATTCCGAGCGCTGATGTTCCCCATGGAACTTTACTGCCCTTCCTATGACTAAATTTTGAAACTGACAGAAGGGCAGTTTTGAAGGTTAGTCGATTATTTCTTTAAGATTTCTGTGTCCCTTTTGCCGAAACTTGTTGTAAGTCCGTATTTTCGTTCCTGATATTACACTGCTGTACCATTTCATGTGCTGAGCAGCATGCGTTGCATAATGTTTAAAGACTTGGCGGTCGTCTGTCTTGTAGCCTTGGAATGCAATTATGTTCCACTTTTCCGTCCAGGCCAACTGCTCATGCAGTTTGGTGTAATTAATTGGAAATTTGTTTGTTCCTGATGAGCTTATTTGTTAACTTTGTTAAATTGGCTATGAAAGGGCCTCAGTGGAAAATTTGGTCGGGAGTGACATTTTTGCTGAGTTTGCACTTTTATTGTAGTCTTGGGCTTCCTTGTTAGTTAAACAAACATCTGAAATTTCAACCTAGCTCCTTATCTCCAGTTATGTACTGATAACTGACTTTGTCATTTCTGTTTACATTGTTTGAGTCATGGTGAAAGTATCTGTTTATGAGTTATCTGCTCATCTAAATCCCATGACACATCATCTCCATCCTGTGGAAAACTCAGACACTAACAAAAGTGAAAATAGTGGTCTCAGACTCGCCATCAATGTGCAAATATTTATCTTTGTGTCTCAGCGGAGAGAAGAGTGGACGGAAGGAGATCTCGCATGACTTGTTGCAATGGCAGGCAGAGATGAAGTGGAACTACTCCTCGTGTTGAAAGGCACTGTGGAGGGACTCCTCATATCCCAAGTGGCAAATGTTTGGTCTATATATGGAGGCCTTAATCGCCTTCATTGTGCCATGGAGCGCATTTTCAAGCATGGTTTCCAAGTTTTAAGTCCAGATGTAAGTTTGAATTTGTCAGAAAATATCTGCTAATCAGTCCCATGTCCACTCCATTATATTGACCAAACTTTTCCTTTCCTTGTTTTAGGGTGAACCAGACTTATGGGTATTTATAAATGGTTTGAGCTGGCTCCAACCAAACCTGGCTACATCACCAACATTGGTTTTAGAATCATACAAAGAATCGTCCCATGTTCCTCAGCACATCATAAAAGATAGGGCTCTCACATGGCTCTATAAAAGGTATTTAGAAGTCCCATTGGTAATGATGTACTGTATTGTCTATGTGATCTCTGCTACAAATTTAGTGTGACTCTGTTTCAGCCTGGAGACACATACCTTGTCACAAAAGCTGTCTTGGCTGCTCTCTGATAGAGAGCACCTTTTGTCATGTTATAAGAGCTCGGCTTTCCTTAGCCAAGAAAAATTTGGTGAGGCTGCTCTTATTTGTTTACGCGCAGTAGAGCATAACCAACCCTCTTTATTAACTGAAATCAATCCTTGTTTGGTTAGTGAGTTTAAAATATTGTAGTATTGTTGATTTTTCCCCCAAAATTATGCTCAGCTAGAATACATTCAATTTTCATTTTTATTTCTTTTCAGTACATGACCAAATGGAACCCCAAGATATCAAAAACTCATCGCAGATGCTCATCATATCCAGAGACATTGGAACGCCACTCTTTGTGGGCTAAAACAATCAATAAGCCCGCAATGGGGCTTATCAACAGTCGGTGTGAAGAAGGACAAGAAATCGACTGTTCACCTCCTTTTAAAAGTGAACTTAATGAAGAAGCAGAAGACTCCTTACAAACGGAAGATGCCACAAGTGAAGTTTCTGTTCCTCTCTCTCCACAAGCAGAAATAGTGAAAATTCAAGAACCAAAGCAGCAGGAACCTCTGAAAATAGGTTTGGACAAAATTAAAGCATGGAACAGTTTACCTAATCTCTTAGACATTGGTTCAAGTGGAGAGCCAAACGATGATGATGCGGCTGCTAGTGGGAAGGCATGGCTTCTAACTCGAAGTAACAGTTCCAGATCGAGCAAAAGTCATAGTGGGTCTCAGACTCTGCCCTCCACCCCTTATCGCTCAACTAAGAGTGTTTCCCATAGGTCGTCAACTGCGGAAAGTGGGTTGGTTAGCTCAAGTAATTCATCAGTTGTGTGTAAATTGTCACCTAGTGTTATCCAAGTTGATTACTCGGGGCTGCAACATTCCGACTCTCCAGATACTCCGAAACAAAATAGATCTCTCACTTTGAAGAAAGGACACCACTCGAAGCAGTCTATTTCTAAATCTATAGCTAAAAATATTAACAAAAAAGGAAGAGTCACCAAAGAGAAAGCAGCACCAGTGAGAGATGAGTCAGATACTGAGGGACCAAACCATGCACAAAATTTAGAGAAGGTTTCAGGAGCAGTACAAGACTCCTCAGACTCTGTGATGAAAGGAAGACCAAAGAGTAAAGAAACTGCAATCCCTTCAAAGATGAGTCGTTCTATGACATGTGATAGAATGATTCCTGAAAAGTCACCACCTTTATTGTCTCCAAGGTAAGAAAGATTCTGGTTTTACTGGTGTTGTCATGTACCGCTTGGATTCATGATTGTTGATTTGTTTTTCAGTAGTGATACGAGAAGACCAGAATCTGTTTCAAGTATTTGGGAAGGAAGTCGGACACCATCCCTAAACAATGCTGGTACACCTACAAGTTGGTCTCGGAAGACCTTCATGGAAGATGGCGGCAGTAGTGTGCAGCCAATGTCCACTGGGTACTTCCCCAGGCCTGTCGAGGGTCAAAGCCTGTTTTCATTTCTCTCATCTGGGCAATTTTCCAGGGCCAATGCTGAACTTGATAGAGAAAATGCCCACTTTAGTATTTCTGAAGCAATGATTGCAGCTATAGAGCAGGTAGAGTAACACATTTATTCTATACCAACATCTAATTTTGATGGAAACTTTGTATTTACATCTGGGTTTCTGGTCTTAAAGGTTAAGTGTAACAAGGAAATCCCGGCTGTACCAGTTCAAGAGGATGGAGCAGATGAATCTGATGAAGAAATAATTCATCTGACTCAACGACTGAGATTACGCCGCCACCAACGCCAAGTTGAACAGCGCCGCCTTCTCTGGGGAGTGACTCTTTTAAGTGATGGGAAAACGGATACCACTACAACTGACCAAAGCATCAGTCCGTTGTCAACGTCTCCAGGAACTCCATCCGATAGCATTTCAACTGATGGAGTTGAAGATATGGAGCTTGATGACACTCAAAATATTTCAAATCTTAAAGATTCAGGCCTTTCTGTTTCGATGGCATCACTGTATTCTGAGGCTGAACTCTCTAAAACGGCCACTAGTGCACCTTGTGATCCTGGGAATGCAACCCAAGATTCAAATTGGTCTGCTGAGAGTGTGGCACTTTCTCTTATTAGTCGATTTAATGAGAAGCAACTTCCCAGGGCCTCAGATTTGAAGTGGCTGGTTTCAGAGCAGGAGGTAGACCAGCAGGTATATTGCTAGAAGGTTGCTTTGACTACGGCATTTTCTTTTTTAATACTAAGCTCATCCTAGTGTTGTTTTATTTCTAGCTGCTTCCTCTACCGAAGAGTTGGCCTGTAAGTCCAGATGAAGTTGATGAAGATATGCGTCAAGCAACACCATTACGAGGCAACATGGAATGGGCTCCACCACGACCTCAGCTTATATTTACACTTCATCCAAATCCTGTGTAGGTCGATGCTTCTTATGAAAGAGTTGCTTCTGACAGTAATTTTGTAAAGAAAGTTTGTAGAAAGAACGTTCTTTGTTTCCAGGAGACGGACTCTTATGGCAAAGCAAAGCTACCGTTGTGCTGGATGTGGGATGAAAGTGGCTCCTTCCTATGCTAGTCGTTATCGATATTGTGAATATTTAGGGCGTTATTTTTGTACTGGTTGTCATTCAAACCAGACTGCACCAATTCCAGGAAGAGTCTTAGCTAAGTGGGACTTTGCTGGGTAAGAATTTTCAACTAGTTTTACTGTTTCAGTTTGGTCCACATTTGTCTAACATTCACTCAATTTTTCAAATGATTCTCTTAGGTATCCTGTGTCTAATTTCTCATATCGTTTACTCGAGTCAATGTATACAGACCCATTGTTTAATGTGGCTGTTCTGAATCCGGCACTCTACAGAAAAGCCAAATCTTTAGATCGATGTAAGAAGCTGAGGCAACAATTAAATTTTCTGAAGGACTTGATTTTTAATTGCAGATTTGCAAAAGAGTATGTACAGTCATATTTTCTTTATGCATTTTGCTTTTTGTGTCTTTAGTGTTAGTAATTACATTTTTACTACTCTCACACTTCAGGCTACAAGAGGTTCTTGAACGTGAACCAAGTTACATGTTCTCGGAAGTTGATGTTTACTCAATGATGGATTTTGAGCAAGTAAAGCAAGGTCGACTGGCTTCTCGACTTCAAACACTCTACACTCTTGGAAATAATCATACGTCGAAGTGTGAGGTAGGTTATTGATTTATTTCCTACAGTTATTTTTTCTGTAAAACTAGAACTTTTTCATTTTTACATCTGCATTGTTTTATTTGCAGCTGTGTCTTGCCCGAGGATTTGTTTGTGAACTGTGTACTTCAAAGGAGATCATATTTCCATGGCAGCTTACTCGTGTGACACGTTGTGCTGATTGTGGTGTATGCTATCACACTCAGTGCTTACCACCTGCATCATGTCCTCGCTGTAAACGAATATCTGCACGCAAGAAACATCTAGAAACTGAATTAGCTGATGATGAAATGGATGCTTTTTCTAATGAATGATTGCACATTGAGGTAACTGTAAGACCAATAATAGTCAATTCATATTTGTTTTAAGTGCTACTTTGATAATATTTCTTTTAAGTACATTTTTATTTTTAAACTTGTAGTACCTGAAATTTTAAGATGATCATATGCACATTACAAGGTTTGTTTTTAGGTTTATGAAGTTTGGCCAAGTTGGATTTATCTGTGTTTTTAAACAATTTCATATTGTTTTGTATTTTTTGTCAGCTCATGAGGGGGCTCCCATGATCTGTAATCGATTTTTTACTCACATTCTTGATATTTGTTATTGCCATTTGTTTCTCACTTGTTTCACAGTTTAACTTACATTGAATTAGGTGGCCATTGACCTTATCTTCAATGTAATTGCTGTTACAGCTTAAAGCTCCTCCTCCCAAATCGCTTGATTGTGCTTTGTCCTAAGATAAGATTCTTTACCCATTTTGTAACTCCTCCTCTTCTGTTTGTTAATTGTGGGATGACTGAAATCGGCAGGTTCATGTAGAGAGAAAGAAAACCGCTGGATTGAGGAGCAATTTTTTGGGGCCATAGTGTGTGAATTGTAAGTCAGTAACATTGTAGGGTTGTGCCACTTCCCATTGCAAGATTACTTTTGCTAAGTGTGTTGTATGAATTGGAGGATTTGATGGCACCATTGAAGACTGATAAATTGTTAGATTCTAGGAAATTTTGAGATATTTTATTAAATAAATGTATTTGATATCTGTTAGTCCATGAACTTCATTTCAGACCTGTCATTAAAAAATAGAAAAAGCCAACCAGTCTGAAACAAAACATGTTTATGAAGAAATTGATCAATTTATACACACAAAAATACATCAAATATCTTCCATTTTGTATTGCAAGTGGCATAAATCTTCACTAAAAACATGGTTGAGGTCCAAGATAAATATTTTTTCCATTTCAAGTCATTGTAGTCCGCTCTGAACTAGGCCATTTACTCAGAATATTATTGCTCATCACAAAATTGATAAATGTCATCACTCACATAAAGATAATTTTTCATCACCTTCAAAGAAACCTTAACAGTAAGTGTGTGGTGGACAATACACACAAAACTAAATCACAGTTGTTGTTGACAATAAAATTTGAAAATGACCGAGTGGAACACACAAACACCTCATAACCAATAAATACCACTGATGAAACAGAGAAAAAAATAAATTACATGGAAAGGATAAATTAGTGGACAAGTATTGCTTACTTACAAATTAAAAATGTCTAGTCCTAAACACATCAGTCAGTGCATCGAAAAAAGTGACGCTTAAAAGTAACACATCAAATTTACTTTTCACGGCAGACTCCTTCTGCAAACTATTGCAACTACATTTAACTACACTAATATCAGTACAATATTTTGTTCTACAGGCTACTAGTACAACATTTATTATGCCAGTGTTTTAACTATGTACAACAATAATGTGACTTTACAGCGTTCAATTGTTTCTTAGAAACAATATGTGCGTATTTACAGTACCAGAAATCAAGGTTGAAATTTAAGAAAATGTTGAGACAAAGAGAGTCCTCTAATTCATTTTTCTAACACATGTACTAATCTAGTCAATTCTGACAGCACTGGTAGAAGTGCAGTAGATTGAGATATTACTATTATTGCAAATACCATGTGTAATTTTCAGTATGAGAGGGCCCAATACGAACTAACGACAGACAAGTGTCATCATTAAATAGTTTGTTTGTACTCGTTTCAAATGACAGACTAGAACATGTAAGCATGAATATGAAGAACTGAATAAAAATTTCCAACAAATTTATGAAGGAATGATGAAGGTGAAAAAAAAGCATGATACATGAAAACTAACACAATGAAGCTAATACACATCTGCCTATTAAATTGGTGATTTACCCTTTATCCAATAAGATCATTTCTACCCTCTAGGAAAAAATTATTGTTCTTTTTTTTTAAATTTCAAGTACATAGGTTTTAATCCAGTTAATAAAACTGGATTATTTTGAGACTTCAAGGGATGAGATTTTGCAAGAAACTTTCACAGTTCTAATACAAAAAGTATAAAAGAAGTATTGCCATTGAAATAATTGTCTTTATCTAAAAATTGCTAAATACTCACCACGATTATAGGTCTGACCATGTCTGACATCTAACAAACATTTCCATAGGTAAATTTGGACCATAACACTCCAATCAGCACTAATCAAAAGCAACCTCCAACAACAACGAAACCTTTGGCAAAAACACAAAGAAATGAATATTGTTACATAGGTTGAAGTAAACTTAAAGTATGATTTCTCACCCATGGGTGGAAAAAACTGAAACATAAAATGAGCATCTTACAAACTGAGAAAACAACCATGGAATCAATGGGAGATGTGAATGAATACAATACAGAATGCATTAGGAAAACTTCTTTGGAACAAAAATACTGATCTTTGGGTGATGAAAATTCTTTGAAAAGCCAAGATAGACTAATCACAACTCAACTAATTTATCATATTAATCATGGTTAGAGAATACATTTATCTTTGGTGAGCTATAAGAGCTGATTTAACTACCAGGAACAAGAACATCTATTTCAAACAGATCATTGTAAAAAAAAAGGTCTGGTCAAAAAAAAAAAAAACAACAACAAAACTGCATTATTACAATGTAATGACAGTTGTTGAAGGTACAAAAAAAACAGTACCAAACTAGGAAACTGCTCTTAAATGGACAGCTAAGCATCTTGAGTAATAAAGAAGTCTACTGGTGTAAGACACAACACTTAACTAATAGTTACTGTGCTTGTTGCATAAAAGAGACATTAGTTACCTATTTAAGATGATAATTAGTGCCACCGCAGCATCTATTAAATAAATATGACAATCTATCAAAATTTCACAGACACATTGAGAGATGTTTTAAGCCACAATAAGATTGGCTATCCACAAAATATTATTGCAGGTTTCACAAAATTAAGTTAATTCGAGAACTATACACAAAAACAGAGACATTACACATCTAATATCACTATGAGGCAATTCCAAATGTACCTCCATGCTGCAAGATGTCATTTGTGCAAAGAACTGACACCGTAATGAGAAGTCCAGTGGAGATACAATTCAGTCTAACGTAACAGACATACTACAGTGACAAACACGTGAGATACTGCAAGAAATAAAAAAAAAAATGCAGCTTGCTACTTATCCATCAGGATTGTCAATCATAAAGCCCAAGGGCTAAATTTTGTTAAACATTTTGTTCTTAAATTTAAACAATCAGATACCAATACCTGCTTGAGCTTGTACAAAATTTGTCAAGGAATTGGATATCAAGTTACCGAGAGGAATATAACATTGAATGTGACCTCAGTTATTCTTTTTTGTTGCTTTTCCACAGCGTGATGTCGACATGTGCTTTTTCAGGTGAGTGCTGAATTTGTACGGAGTTTCACAAATTTTACATACATATTTCATTTCACCAGTGTGAAGGCGTAAAATATGTTGCTCTAGAGTATTTAAGGTCGAGAACCTCTTGGTACAAACTGGACACTTGATGAGTTTCTCGCCAGGGTTCCGAGACGAATGGGTCATGAGGTGCTGTAATAGGCCAGTAACACTGGAAAATTCCTCATTACATTTCAGACAATGTTGTTTTTTCTTTCCATCTACTTCAAGGTTGAGACCAGAAGTGAACATATCTGCTTTTGTCTTCCTTATTTCCTTAATATACTTCGATGCGGTTTCTCGAATTCCGGCAGAAATATTCTTTGTCAGTTTAACTTCATCATTCCTTTCTTCCGTTTGCATGGTGAGTAACTCTTCAAAGTAACTTTCCTATAAATAAAAAAAATGTGAGATACACAGGAGAAACCAAAAGAAAAGAAGGCAAAGCAGCAACAACGATGAGACATTACCGTTTGGCTGATTTGATGATTGTCTTGATTTTCATTTTCTTCATTCTTTCTTTTAAATTGTACTTTGAGAATTTCTTCTGGATCAATGATCTCAGCTTTACAAGATGAAAGTTCAATGATCATACTATTATTGTTACTATTTTGATCAATGGACACATTTGCTGTGAGTTCAGGCAGTTCCTATTGAAAAATAAAACAAGCATATTTGCATTTACATTGTCAATGACATAAATCATTCAAAACATGCAGGAAAAAGAAAAATTTACTTACTTTGTAAAAGCCTAACGAAAGTGTGGAACCTGAATCATAAGCCTCAGAATCGTTCTCTGTGTCAGTATGAGAATGGTCTGTAATTTCACTACTATTCATTCTCTCCCTCCAGCGTAGACTGTCAGTGCTACTGCATCGTGAAGCATCAGTGGTGTTGCCGAGTCGTTTAGTAAACCAAACTCCAGAATGAGAGATATCATTTTCATATTCACTTTCAAAGCTTGAATCACTATCAATAGAGGGATGAGACCTATGGTTCCAACGAGATCTTTGAATTATGGCATCTCTATTTATTTGCAGATTTGAAGTTGAAGTTATAACAGATGGACGAGTAGTGTGTGGATTTAACTCCTCCTGCACAAAACATGAAAACTTTCATGAATAATAGAATGAAGCAAGATATTACAGAAACAAAAAGAAACCAATACTCACACAGCCTAAACCATTATTATTATAGTTATTTTTTGATATGCTCAAGTCTAAAGGCGCAGATTCCAAAAATGTCTTTGGTACTTCCGAAAACTGAAGTTTCTTAGCATATCTTAAGTCTAAAACCCCTTGATGATCCATGTCCTGTAAATAAAAAAGGAAAAAAGATAATTAAAAAATTTGAAAAACTCTATACCTAAAACGAATTTTGTGTGTTGACACATTGAAAAGATGCCAAATTGAGGCACTTCAATTTCTGACAATAGATCAATAACGCTACACATAAGTCATTTAAAACAAATTGTTTTGGGGTGTTTTAAGTCTTTACCATACTTCTTCAACTTCAATTAAAGTCATTTACCCATCTTCTGCATGTGTACTTCCCCATAGACTCCAGTCCAATTTATTGGTATATGGGCCTTGCATTTGCTGTGTAATATTTCTTTAAGTTTGTTTGGGTTTAGAATGAGGTAAAGAGCAATTTGTATTTTCATAAAGTTGATTTTTTCTCCCATGCTATCTGCAAGCTGGGACAATATTAAAATTTTTACTATTCTGGTATGTGCTTCAAAAAGTGTTGTCACCAAATATATTTTTTAAATTAAATCCTGAAGGGACCTGATCTTATGGGAAAACTTTATTAAAGTATTGAGGCATTTTTCGCAGATATTTAATGGTAAGTTTATCAAGGAGAGGTCCACAGAGTGGGCCTGACCTTGAAAAGTGGAAACCAGTTGGGAAGAGTGGGAGAAGAGAAAGTCTCACAATGAGGTCATCTGTACTGCTCCTGACACCTGGCAGGTGATGTTTGTAAACAAAGAAGAGGAGAGTATTTCCTCAAGAATAGAATCAATTCTGGCCATTTCACTGTCAATGAAGCATTAGGTTATTAAGGAGAATCAAAGTGCTGTTCTAGAACAGGTGGTTGCTGGTTGTGAGGTAGGTGCAGTGTAGCCAAATGACAAGGTATTTCCACTCTTGATTCAATGAGGTTACCTCATACTTTAATGTATAACATAAACCAATGGAAACACTTCAAGTTATAACTATGTTATTGATAAATAAAGAGAAAAATCTAGGTGAATTCATAAAAATATATTCTACCCATTTTCATTGAAATTAAATTGAGAACACCAGCAAAATTGTTAAACATTTAAGCTGAACTTTGAAAACGGTTTTATTACTTGTGAACTGAAAAATTAATTGGTCTGTCTGTCTATGAATCAGAGCAGTAAAAACAATAAGATTGCAACTTATTAGCTGTCACTCTAAAAACACAAGCACACATCAAAAACTTAGATCTGTCAACGTTTTGAATATAAAAGAGAAGTTGCCAAAAATTTGCAAGAAATGGCAAATGGAGTACGTTCCAAAGCCCTTTGGTTTGTTTCGTTGTCCTGGCAAAAGATTAAACACGGTAAAGGGAACCTTTAACCTCAATCTTCGCAACATCCACTTTACTTTATTATGGTTGTATCCAATGAACCTGGCTGGATCAAATAGGTATTTGGTACAAAGGTGATAAGTCCGAGACAGTTCAGAATAATTTTAAATTAAGTCTTTGAGTGGAAATATAGAACAGAAAGAAATAGAACAAGATACTGCGAGCAACGAACGTAAAATTCATAAAGTCTTGTACTTCAGGTAAGCCGGGTAAGCCATAGGTAAAGGTTTGAATGAACAGTAATCATTACCATCGAAAGATTGCAAAAAAATGTATTCAGCTAACCATTGGGCAAATCTACAGGAATCATGGCTGAGATGCGCATGAAAATTTGGACCTGCAGCCGATACCAAGAACTAGACTCTGGAGTAAGCAGAATAAAGTCCTTCAAAGGCAACAACTTTAAGGATAAAATGGGACCAAGGTACTGGATCCAGCCAGCACGGCAATAGACACCATTTGAGAAAGGGCAACCTTTCTTCCAAGAGTAAACACACTGGGTAGGGTTGTTGGGAGTGAAAATTCTTCTTTGGGCACCATGGTATCAGGGAAACAGAGTGCAATTCCTAAGCAATACGGGGCGTTTCGTAAAGAATCAGTCAAGAAACGACAGCCGTCACAATCAAGTCATCAACGTACGTGAGGTACAAGTGGAATCAAGGGTGCAAGCCAAACACAGCCCTAACCTCTCATCCCAGTGCCTTTCAGGGATTGTACGAGTTCGCCGAATGGAGTCCTGGGCGTGACAGCGGGTCGCAAGCGAGACCATGTCCACAAGAATGTCCGTGAGACGCTTCAGGGACGAAATCTCGGCTCTGTTCTCCGAGAAGAGCTAACAGGGTGACGGGGCCCACCCACAACAAAGAAGCTGAAAGGACTCAGGACTCCGTCTCACCTCATTCATTCACGCATTCCCTCGCTGCAGCGACTCTGAGCGAGCCTTGGAATCCGCACGGCCGATCCCTCATGCCCTCGCGGATCCTCGCCAGAGCAGCGCGAACGCGCGAACCACAAACTGCAAATTCCAGTCCAAACTCAAGTCATGCCTGCTCCGACTTCAACCCCTGCCGAGCCCCACGCATACCCTGCAGTGAATGACAATGGAATGGTGGCGGGGGGTGGGGGTGGGGCGGGCATGGAGACGCCCCCCCTCCCCCCCCCCCCGCCATCGCCCACCCCTCGCCCCGACGATTCACCCACCCCTAGCAACGTGACAACACTGTCAGTGTCCAGGACGTCGGAGGTCCAGGACGGGGGCGGCGGCGGGGGAATTCACTGGACAGTTCTGGAGTCCCACGGGCGACTTTCAATGGGATTGGGTCGGATTAGCTGAGGCCCTGTCTCGTAATCGACCAAAGTAGTGGGCGTAGGATTAACTTGTGGCTCTGCGTTGCCCGACAAGGCGCTTACCGACTCGTCTTCGACTAGCGGAGCTTCCGAATCGCGGGGACCTCAGGTGCGATTCCGTAAAGTCTGTTTGGGCGCGTTCGACGCTAGGCAAGGCACTGCACTGGAAGGGCGTCCGTGCAGCCTGCGGCCCTGCGGCCCACGGGGCACTGGAAACAGTAGCGGCAGCAGCCACGCCGATAAGACACAGGGGCGGGCAGCGTCCACCACTTGTTTCGTCGCTCTGTCCCTCTCGCACTCATGGGCCGTTCCGCGAGGGTGCGAGAGAGACAGAGCGACGAAGCTGCGTTCGGAGTGAGCCACCAGTGCTGCAGCATGGCACAGCAGCCAGCCATGTGGTCCATTGCACTTCCGCGCCTCCCCGCTTCCAGAGCAAGATGCACTCCGACGCCCCGGCCGCTCGGACGCAGCCCGAATGCAGCGTGCAGCAGGGAGGGGGGGGGGGGGGGCACGATAAAACTACGCGTAGGAGTTGGCCATGTTCTGCATTAGTCAGGCCGGCCGCGTGCCGCGCGTCCCAGCCCAGGCTAAATTCGTTGAATTCCGTCGCTGTCTCTCTCTCTCACTCCCAGAGCGAGGGAGACAGGCCGGCGGCGCAGCACTGTCAATGAGTAATAATTTGGTTGGCCGTCGTGTCGCCGTCCGCGGCGTGCGACGTGATGGCAGCGGCGGCGGGTGGATTTCGGCTTCGGCGTCCGGGATCGATGTGACGTACCTGCTGGAACCGGGCAGAGTCATGGCCGAGTCCGCCGTGTCGTGCCACCCCACTGCGGGGCCCTCTGCGGGGCTGGGGCTCGGCGTGGACGTGGCCTTCAGGGCCTTGCCACACACCGCCGGAAGGGGCGAGTGGCAGCCAAGACCAAGGGGCGGACGACCAAACCCTCCACTCCCTCCAAGGCAGTGAAGGGACGCATTGCGGCCAAAAGGGAAGTCACGGAGGAAATATCCCGACCAAATCGGAAGGCAGGGTAGGTTGACGGCAGGGCAGGTTGACGGCGAGGCCAGGTTGACGGCCCAGGTCACTGCTCGCGGGGCTTGAGTGGCTGGAGTGGCTGGGCATCCGCCTGCATGGTAGGCAGCCCAACGGACGCGCGCGCCTCACTGGACGGGCGGCGGCAGGCGGCAAAGCCCTCGGCAAGGCCGGCCGCGATGAACAAACTTGAAAGCAGTTCCTCAGCTTCACCGCGAACGCCACCACACTCGCACCGATTGCTTTCTCCGGCGGCGAAACCATCAGCGACACCACCTGAAAACGCAATCACCTCGGCAGAGGGGCGGCCAGGGCGGCGGGGGCAGGCCAATGCCCTGTTTATGCAAATTAACGGGTGACCGCAGATTCCAACCGCCAGGCCGCTGCGCGCTGCGCCTCGCGGAGCGTCGCGCCTTGCACTCCGCCACCACGCCCACTTTCGGGGAGCAATTAACAATTCTTGGCCGGCCGATGCTCCCCGTGACCTCTCTCCCTCTCTCCGCAAACGACGAGGACGGTCCGTGGAGCGGTGAGCGCCTGGAACACGCTCCCCGCGCGCCCTGGCACAGTGCACAGGGCTCGGCCCCACGCACGACGTCCAACCGCTCGGGCAAGTTGTCCAGCAGGAGATGGGCATGACGTTGGAAGAAGGACACGGGGGTGTTGGTGCGGGCCGGCGGCGTGGGCAGCCGCCCCACTCCGCACGCGGGCTTGACGTACGCGAGGCGTTGGGCAATCAGCCTGCTTGCAGAGGACAGACGCGATCGCCAGTCCCTCGGATAGCATCGCCACGGCATCGCCATCTCCAGGACCCGTCCCGCCGGCCCGGCCGCCGATCCGATGCTGATCTACTCCGTTGTGCTTGTGGTGGCACTGTGGCGCCCCCTCCCCCCGGCCATGCTACGCAGAGTGGCGAGTCGCTCGAGTCGCCCGGCAGGTGACCTCCTCGGCTGGACGGGTCACTCCTCCTTTCACTCGCAGCTCGACGCGGACGGCGGCGCTCGCAGCCATGCCGCTGTGCAGCGCTGCACTGTGATGCAACCGGACGAACCGGCCGCGGCTCCTTTAGGGGTGCCACCCCCTGCTGGCCCGGCTGGCCCTGCTGGCCCTGCCGCCGGCATGCCGATGGCGCCCCGTCGGCGGCGACCTCCTACGACTTCCACCCGGCCGCGCCGTCTGATTCCGACTCTGTCTCTCTCGCACCGCAACGGGACGCCCCGTGAGTGCGAGAGAGACGGAGCGACGTAACGCGGCAGGCGATGGCAGATGGCCCGGCTAGCCCAACCTGGTGTATGTAAACCAGAACCGGGTTTTATTGAACGACCTGCCGCTTCCGCCTGCGGCACCTCGGCGAAGGGCACTTGGTGGCGACCCCGCGCGTCGTCGGGGTCCTCCCGATGCGCGCCGAGACAGTTTACGGCGCGGGGCGCGTGCGGTGCGTGTTGTGCGTGCCGCGGCACGCCGAGAAGGAAGAGCCCTCGGCCGGCCTGCACGACGGGTGTGGCAGCAAGGCGTCAGCGATGCAGTCCCGTCAGACACGCGTGTGCTCCGACTGCCTGTTGAACAGGCGCTGAGCGACCGACTGACCGACTGACTGGCTGACAGCATCCAAGCACAACATGGATGCTGCATCCACCCCCTGCTGTTACTGTTATTTTAGGAGGGGGGTTAGGCCCAGATGCGGCGTGCGACGGCCATCCGGACCGAAATGCTGTGCCGACCGGCGAAATCGCCGCCAGGCCGCCAGCTTTCGCGCGCTTCGGCGCGCTCGACGCTGCTGATGGGATGGGGACGCCCCGCGTGGCCTGGCCGCCGCCGTGGCCGCCGTCGAGAGGCAAGTCCCGTATTTCTGTCCACGCCGCCGTCACGGCCCCGCTGATGTACGCCGCGCCGCCAACCTTGAACGGGCCAGGCCCGGCTCAGAGTGGATGCACTGCCGCGGCGCACGCCACCGCCGTCGCCATCCTGGTCCTCCCTCGGCGGCGTCGGCCCGCTTCGGCCAGGCCGGCACGCAGCCTCCTCCGCTAATGCTCAGCACACTGCTACTTTCGCTGCCGGCCGCGCTGCCGGGCTGCCCAGGGCTGCAGGTGAGGCGGCGCCTCGCCGACGCGGTGACCAGCCAGCCCGGCCAGCCAGCGTTCACGTAATACGACCCGCGGCTCGCGACCCGCGCGACCCTCCGGAGCCGTGGCTCCGCGGTGAGGTGTGGCGCGGCGCTGCGCGGCCCGGCATGTGGCCCCGGGTCCTGCCCTGCCCCACTGACTGGACTGGACATCCGCATACTGACCGAGCCGCGGCCGAGCCCACCGCCTGGTGGTGGGCCTGTTGGCCCTGCTGGCGGCCCACCGCACATTTGAGGGCGCATTTTATTACGTCACCAAATTCGGTCTTTTCCGCGGACGGCTCCGCGAGGCTGCGTCTGCAGCCCGCACTATGAGACAAATGTTGACCTCCTTGCAGTTGACCTCCACTTTTTACGCGTGGCGTGGGTGGCTCACATGGCGCCAACTCCAGCGAGCCCACGAACTGCCTCCAGCAGGTGGATTCCAAAACAGCGCTGTCTCTCTCGCACTCGCGGGGCGCCGGAGGGGTGCGAGAGAGACGGAGCGACGAAGGCGCTGACCCGCAGGACGCATTACCGCTCGTTGTCTGCGGTCGCGAGGTCCGTGTCACCCCGAGCAAGCGTCGCCCCACAGGTGCGAGAGAGACGGACTCGTGGAACCCGCAATTAACGCATTACACGGCGCAGGGCAGAACGGCCGCGGGGCCGCGAGGGAGCGAGAGCGCAAGACAAAATAATCGTTGACCATCTCCCGGTTGATTCATTACCGCGGGACGAGCGGGCGACGCACGCCAGCGGACTCATTCCGAGAGTCGTCTTCGTCGCTCTGTCTCTCTCGCACTCACGGGGCGTCCCGTATAGGTGCGAGAGAGACAGAGCGACGAACACGACTCTCGGAATCAGTGTGCTGACGCAACGCGCGGCGCGGCAGACGAGTGCAAACACTTCGCGGCAGTAATTATTTACACTCGCCTTTTTACTTTGTGTCCTTCTCGACTTCTCGGTTATGATGCACGATGCATAAGTGTGCGGCAACACGCCGTTCCATGGCCGCCAGCGCCGCCAGGCGGATTTGACTTCGAAATATGGCAAGAGAAGCTCGGTCGGCGAATCAACAGTTAGTTCAGGCTGGGGAAGGCTTTTGGCAACTCAGGTTGAACCCGAGAGGCGGTTCTCGTCGCTGTCTCTGTCGCACTCGAGGGGCTTCCCCTGGAGGGCGAGGGAGACAGAGGACGGCGTCGCCGCGTCGCGCGCAGCGTGTCGAAAACCGATCCCGATTAGACTCCGTGGGATCGCCTGCACTGTAACGGACCAGCTGAGTCGTCCAAAACGTCCCTTCCCTTTCCTCGGACGCAGGCTGCCCGTCTCTCTCGCGCTGCCGCGCTGCCCCCGGCGGTGCGACGAGGACGGGGCTCTTCTTGTCCTCCTCGGCGCGGATCGCGTGACCAGCGGTCAAGCCAGCGGTGGACGCATGGCTAACCTGCACTTTGCCGGGCAACCCAAATAAAGACAGGCCGGCTTGCCACACCACTGCGAGGCGTAGCAACGCGTAGCTTGGCGTCGCGCCGCGCCGCGCCCGTCAGCGTCTTCAAGTCTTCGAGTTCGAGAGGCAGCTCTCGATTAGCCTCCGTGGCCTCTGCCGCCTACTGCCGCCTCGGTCCGCAGAGGATCGTTTCGTCGTTCTGTCTCTCTCGCGCGCCTACGGGACGCCCCATGAGTGCGACAGAGACAGAGCAACCGCCAGTCTCGGTTTTGCGAAATCGAAATACGCGCGCTTTTGATGCGATTTCGGGGGAAGCCGTTTGTGCGAACACCGCTCTGCAATCTGATTCCCATAACGTCGCTCTGTCTCTCTCGCACTCACGGGGCGTCCCTTGGGGTGCGAGAGAGACAGAGCGCGGCGTCCTGGCGGCCATGCACGTTATTGCCGCCCCGCGACGCGGCGTGCACGTTTGGCGTGCCGTACCGACGGTAGTTTGTTGGTCCCTAGCCAGCGCCCCGTCACAGCACCCAGCTGCAGCTTGTCTCAATAACGAACCACTCCGGTCTTTCACTTGGCACTGTGGGAACGGAACGCTGAGACAGTGTACCAGAGAACGGCACTTGCTGTACCCGCACCCAGTCAGCTGAGTTCCAAAAAGAAAAATGTTGGTTTTCGTAAAATTCGTGTGACTTTTTTCGGGAGGCAGAAAATTAAGTTGCAACCTTGTTGCAACGAGAAGTTGGACAAGAGACGGGGCCAGGGCCGCCACGCGTCCGATTACTGCTCCGCTGTTGATTTAAAAAGTGGGCTGGCCGCGCCAAAACGCCAAAATGCCACCCAGCGCAACAAAACAGTGGCGCGGCGAGGAGTGCGCGCCTGCGCGCCCTCGACACTGTGAAACTGTGAATAATATTGGGAACATGAATCACGCCCCGTTTCGCCAGCACAGCCAGCGCGATGACCGCGTTCGGCGTTTTACGCCCCGAAACCGCCGCAATGCTCCCGAAAAAAAAATAAAGAGAAGCAGTCCCGCGATGCAACGGCGCCCCATCGCGTCGGTGCAGTCATTCGCACGAAAATGAGAAGAATCGTTAAGGTGAAGAAGAGGCCCTTGATTCGTTCCACGTAACGCTCAATCCGTTTGGGCGGCAAGGGCGTGCGATTGGAGCGGCGGCAGGTTGTCTCACTCGCACCCCGCACGAAGCCCTCGAGAGCGAGAGGGACGGAGAGGGCTTTGATTCACGGCGGCGGCGGCGACCTTGCGACATCCCTTTCGCCGAAGGATCTGACCGGTACGGTTTTTGCTCGCCTTCCTCGCCCAGCTTGCCGCCCGCGCGACGACGTGACGACGGCGTGATGACCAACGCGCACATCGGCATCGCCATTAGTCACACAAAGGCCCCACGTGCCCAAAAGCGAAGCCAAAGCCTGCAGCCTGCAGTTGGCGACGGGCTGAGTTCTCGGGACTCCCCGGTCAGTCCGTTCGTTGGTTCGTTCCGTTCCGTGCAGCTCGTTCATTATTGCGTAACGAGAACGAGAACGAGGAGGCACCCAGCGCGCTGCGCGTTCGACTTTTGCTTTTCCAGTGCCGCACCGAGTGCCGTGGCCGACCGGGCCAGACATGTCTCGGCGGCTGGACCTCGTCGCCTGTCTCTGTCGCACTCACGGGGCGACCCGCAGCGGTGCGAGAGAGACAGAGCGACGAAAACGACTGGACTCCGGCCCAGGATCCCCGCGAGCCACAGGCACGACGCGGCAGTACGGCACGGGGTGGTTCCGTCTCCCTCGCACCCCTACGGCCCGACGGGGCGCCCCACGAGTGCGAGAGAGACAGAGCTCTGTTCGGAGTCGGCGCCCGCGGGTCGCGATCGCGTGAGACCCAACCGGCGCCTGCTCCCACGTGTCTCATCGGCGGAGCGGCGGGGCCCTGCTTGCAGTGAAGGGGGACACGACCAGGGGCATCTCGTTGTCCTACCCGTCCTACCAGCCTAGCGCCTCAAGGACCGTCGCGTCGCTCTGTCTCTCTCGCACCCCAGGGACGCCACATGAGCGTGACAGAGACGGTTACGACCCCTGCTTGGGAATCAGACGGCTGCCGTGGTTTCAGAATTAGTTTTCGCATGACTTGGCGTGATTTTTGCACTTCCAGTCGGCGGCGCTACTCCGCGCTCAAGTGCCTTTCAGCGCCCAACGAGGGGCGGTCCCCGCTGTCCCTGGCGCGTGGCGTATCGACGGCCCTTCATCGGCCCATAAAAACGACGCACCGCCCCTACAGTGGCGTCGCCGGCGTCGCCGTTTCTTCTGACGAGGACATAATGCTCACTGTGTCGCGAGCGATAAATTATTGAGATGGCGCCGCGGCACGGCGCGGCATGGCACGGCCCTCAGGGCGCCACGTCGCCGTGCCTCCTCGAACAATGCCCCGCTGTCCTGCTTGTCCGGCAGCGCGCTGTCTCTCTCGCACCCCTACGAAGCGCCCCGCGAGTGCGACAGAGACGGAGCCTGTCCGGCCAGACGGCGGCGGCGGTGTGTTTCATTCGATGGCCGACTTTTATGTCTGCCTCTCTTCTCGCGCGGCGGCACGCGTCCACGCAATGATTCGGCCCGCCGGCCTTTCGCGGCGTCCGAACGGCGGCGCTCTGTCTCTCTCGCACCCGCTGGGGCTGCCCATCCGCCCCGCGAGTGCGAGAGAGACAGACAACACGCGTCGTTCGGTTCGGCGGCCGCGGTGACGGCATGATAAGTGAATCGCGGCGGCGAGGCAGGCACGGCGACGGGCGACGTCACTGCCATATGAATGGCATGCAAAATAAAGCCCCGGAAGGACTGGAACCACTGGGACTGAGGACCGCGCGGACCGCGGTGGCGGACTGGGTGGACTAGGCGGACATCCAAATGAAATGACGCAACCAAAACGCGCCGTCGCCTGCTCGTCCTGCTGGGCCCTGTCGGTCTGTCGGCCACGGGAGCCTGGAGGGAGGACCGGTAACCGCGTGGTCAACATAAGGACCCGGGAAAAGGGGTTAACAGTGTGGGTTCCCACCGAAAAGCGACGGTAAGAGTAAAAGACAGAGAAAAAAATGAAACAGTTTTATTTTTCCAGTGAGGAACTATTTACAATTCTAAAGATTTTTGGGAAATGAAATTATTTTATTTTTTCAGTCAGAAAATGCAGTTTTTAATTTTGAGAGGAACGACCTAGTTGAAACAACTTGAATAATTTTTCTGGCGGCGCTTGCAACGCAGATCGCACCCACCACGGTGTGGCGGAAGAGGTCGCCGACGAAGGCGAAGGGCCCCCGAGCCCTTGAAAGACGACCTCCCTGGGGTGCAGCGGAGTGACCCACACAACGTAACGCCCTTCCTGCCCCCCTCACGTCCGTGGACCGTGTCCGCGGTCGGCGGGGCGGGGCGGGGCGGGGCGGGCGGGGCCGCGGTCGTCCATAAGGCCTTCCCGTAACGGAACCTGTCGCGATGTTGTGTCGGACCTGCAACACCATCAGTGACCGCACGGGCCCGGCCGGCCGGGCCGGCTGCGTCTTGGGCTGCTTGGCCTGCCTTCGGCCCCGCCGCCGGCCCGCGGCCCCTCGGCTTGCCAGTGGCGTGGCGTATCTAAGGCCGCGGTGACCGGCAGGACGAGACGGCACGCGGGCTGTCTCTCGTTAGTCTCTCGTCGCTCTGTCTCTCTCGCACTCATGGGGCGTCCCGTATAGGTGCGAGAGAGACAGGGCGACGTCTGCTGCCCACCAGGCCGCCAAGCCCAGCGCATCGCGGCAGGCGCGGCACGGCGCGGCCTGGCGTGTTGACCACGCGCGCGGGGTCCGAGGGTCCGACCGGGTCCGACGCGGTGCCATTGCACAACAGTGGCAGATCTCCAGCCTCCAGCTCCAGCGTTCCAGCGACGGCCCGGCGGTTCCTCTCCCATAAAGCACGCGGCTCGTTGCGCCTCGCACTTACGCCTCCGCTCCAGCACCGCTCCGGCCCACGTCCGCGATTCCGAGAAAATTACATAAAATTATTTCGCGAAGAAGAAAAATGCGTGACGTGTGGCAAAATACGTGTGCGACACCGACACCAGACTTGACACCAGAGCCTCCCGCAGGCTAATCTCCAAAGGGAGCACCCCTCCCGACCCCCTTCCACAGCTCCCCCTCCCCTCCCCTCCCCTCCCTCCCCGCCCCGCGACTCGCAAGCACAGTGCGTACTTTGTACGTCGGTGTCGTTTTCGCTGCCCCTCCCTGCGTGCGCGCGATTTCAAGCGGGTCGCGATTTGCGAGCGCGATGTGCATTCGATAGAGAGAGAGAGAGAGAGTGCAGCGGAGAAAAAAAGGAGCGAGTGACGATGAGCGCGTCGAAACCTGCATCAGAAGACGAGAGGTTGCGTGCGGTGCCGTCGCGCTCGCACACCGGCGGAGCGCTGTGTCGCGATTTCTCAAGCATTCGAAGTGGCCCGGAGTGAACGGAGCGAAGACAACAGACTGAGGTACTTCCTTGACGCACGCCAGCACTCGGAATGGTGCTGCAGTCAAAGACAAACGCCCGATTTGGATTCTTTCACACATCAAGACAGTGTTTCATCATGGACAACATAACCTCTCAGTGCCTGTGATGTTCTGTCGTTGTTTGTCCATTTTCGGGCTTTAAACGAACTTGCGACTGGTTCGTGCGGTTAGATATCAAAGCGAATTATTTTCGACGATTTTTAACTCGCGGCGAACGCGCAATTGTTAAGAATAGCGCGTGTTTTCACATATCATAACAAAGGTTATAGTACCTGCCAGTGCATTTGTTTGTCTAACATTTTCGTGAACGGCGGCACTGGCGACGACCATTTTAAAACGACCTTTGATTGTAAATCATTAAATAATTACTGTCTCGCTCACTGACCTTCCGCAGTCGCTTTCCAGGCGTTTGTTTACTTTTGGTTATTTCGTGTTCGTAAGTTGGCAGCGCGGCCCAGCTCGGCCCGCCATTTTCAGCCTCAGTTTGAATGCGGCGCCGTTCCGTCCCGACCAAGAAACCGCGTTTCTTTTCTGTTTTCATGCTAAATTACTGTCGAATGTTTCTTTATTGCACATTAAAATACGATCCATCACTAATTTTTAAAATATTAGATGCATTTAAATTTATGATGTGCTTTTTGATTTCCAGTGCATGTAGTAATTGCAATTTTCCTGTGGCAGGTCTATAGGATGGAGACGCGGGCGAGGCCGGCTGCCGCCATGGGGTTGCCGAAGGACGCGTCCAAGGACTCCAAGGACGCAGCCCCAGACGGGGCCAAGGACTTGAAGGCCGCCGTGACGCCATCCACGGACCGCGGCCGCGACCGTGGCGCCCTGGACGTTTGGCGAACGCCGCCGTGGAGCTGGTGAACAAGGCCTCCCTGGAGGTGGCCGTCGTGGTGCTCGGCGACGGCCCGGACGACACTGCGTCGCCGCCGCTGGTGGACTTGCAGGCCGAGGCCAGCACCCCGCCGACGCGCCCCGCCACCGCGGAGCCCTCCGAGGACGACCTGGCCGTGGACGTCCGTCCGCTCAGCGCCGAGGACGACGGCGTGCAGGTCCTCAGCGAGCACAACTACCGCACCGTGCCGCTCCAAGACGCCAAGGACGACCAGGAAGTGCTGCTGACCGACGTGGAGGAGGGGAGGGCTCGGACTCGGAGCCGACGACGCCGGGGGCGGAGCTCAACAAGTCGCGCGACATCTACAGCACCATGAACGTGCCGCTGACCGTGATCGAGCACGAGGTGGAGGACGAGGAGGTGGACGTCGAGTGGGACGAGGGCGACTCTGCGATGAACAACCAGGACTCCGTCGCTGCCCCGGCTGTCCCCACCGCCCCCGCCGCCCCCGCCGCTCCGGCCGCCCCCGCCACCCCTGCCGCCCCCGCGCGGCCGGCCCCAGGGCGGGAGTGCCTGATATGCGGCGCGGCCTGCCAGGACACGGCCGGCTACCGCCTGCACATGCTGAACCGCCACATGCGGCCGCAGCCCTACACCTGCATGCTGTGCTGGAAGACCTTCTCCACGGCGCGCGACCTGATCCGCCACACGGACAGTAACTGCAAGGAGACGTTCTACAAGTGCCAGCGCTGCGACCGCGTGTGGTCCTCGGACCGCCACCACGCGGCCTGCCCGTCGTGCGCGTCGGAGGAGGACGCCGGCGCGGCCGAGAGCACGCCCTACGAGTGCGGTGAGTGCGGCGAGGCGTTCAAGCTGCTGCGCCACCTCACGGTGCACGTCAAGACCCACCCCGCCTCGGCCAAGCCCTTCAAGTGCCAGACGTGCTCGCAGCGCTTCTCGACGTGCATCCGCCTCATGATCCACGCGCGCCAGCACTCGCCCTCCAAGAGGAGCAGCCCCCGGGCGCCGCCCACGCCGCGCAGCCCCCAGAACGGGCATGGGGCCCACAGCCAGAACGGCCACCACAACGGTCACCACCACGGCCCCCACGGCGCCCACAACGGCACCCAGAACGGCGTCCACAAGCCTGGCCCCCGATCACGCCGAGGTCGGCCCAGAGAAGAGCACCACGACGACGGGGTGTCGCAGTCGTCCCTGCGGCGAGCGTTCTCCGACCCGCAGCAGCTGTCAGGATTCGCGGGCAGCCCGTCCAAGGGCAGCCCACCCAAGTCCGCCATGCACCTCAACACCATGGGCCCAACCGCCCACCAATCCATCGCGCTGGGCCCCGTCACCATGACCCCTATGGGCCCCATGGTGCCGCTGCTCGGCTTCAACAACAGGCAGTTCAGCCACTCCACCACCTTCGAGGACTTCGCCGGCCACCCGGTGTTGCTTCCCCAGCACCACGCCCAGGGCCAGTTCCTAGTCACCATGCAGGAGCCGGTGCACGCCGCGGAGCCGAGCGACGTCCGGGAGGACGACGAGGACACCGACATCGCCGAAGACGAACCTGAGGAGGTTGACGAGGACAAGGACGAGGATGACCCCTTCGACGACTCCGCCCTGTACTACGAGGACGACGCGGAGGGCGCCTCCGACGACGGCGAGTTCGACTCAGACGCCCCCCACCAGGACGACGACGAGGACATGGAGGTCGAGGAGTCTGCCGGCCACGGCGTCGACGAGGACGAGGACGGCGATGTGGACATGGAGCGCGGCAGTCGGCGCGCGCCCCGTCCGGGACAGAAGTCGGACCCCCGGCAGTGGAAGCAGTTCCCCTGCCCGTCGTGCCCGAAGGTGTTCCGGTTCAGCCACCAGGTGAACGTGCACATGCGGACGCACACGGGGGAGCGGCCCTTCGCCTGCAGGCTGTGCGACCAGAACTTCCGCCAGGCCAACAGCCTCAAGCGCCACCTGCTCCTGAACCACGGCCTCAAGGGCAGCGCGGCGGGCTACGCGTTCCGCTCCATGCTGGCGCTCAAGCGCAAGCGCGTCAAGCGGGAGCGCTACAGCGCGCTCACGGCCTTCTTCGCCAAGCAGGGCAAGCTGAAGGGCTTCGACAAGGAGGCGGGGGCGTCCGACAGTGCCATGGTCGTCGCGCACCACCCCGCCGGCCACCGGCCCGCCGGGAACCTCCCCGTGAGGCACCGCCCCGCCGGACGCAAATCCCCCGGAAACCTCCCCGTCGGAAACGGAAAACTCCCCGCGGACCACCGGAAGCTGGACGCGCTGCCGGCGGTGCGGGCTTTAGAGAAGCTGCTGGGGGACATGCCCGACCCCATGCCCGACCCCATGGCCGACCTCAAGGCCGAGCTCGAGGCCGAACTCGAGGCCGACCCAGAGGCCGACCCAAAGGCCGACCCTAAGGCCGACCCAAAGGCCGACCCAAAGGCCGACCCTAAGGCCGACCCAAAGGCCGACCCAAAGGCCGACCCAAAGGCCGACCCAAAGGCCGACCCAAAGGCCGACCCAAAGGCCGACCCAAAGGCTGACCCAAAGGCCGAACCCGCGGCCGAACCCACGGCTGAACCTAAGGCTGAACCTAAGGCTGAACCTAAGGCTGAACCTAAGGCTGAACCTAAGGCCAAACCTAAGGCCAACCCTAAGGCCAACCCCAAGGGTGACCCTAAGGTCGACCCCAAGGCCGACCCTAAGGCCGACCCTAAGGTCCACCCCAAGGCCGACCCCAAGCCTGAACCTAAGACCGAGCTGAAGACCATCCTCAAGAGCAGGTTCGCCACCATAGCCTCGGTGGGCGTCAAGAGGACGGCGACGAGGCCTGGCGCCTCGACTTCGACGCCGAGCTGAGTTCGCCGAGCTAGAGTGCCCCGCTGGCGTGGGCGTGGACTGATTGTACGGCTGTGATTTGCTAGTAGTAACAGGGTTTCATTTGTTGTTGTAGAATTAGAATCACCATTTCCTGTAGCCTATGTGTGAACTTACCGTATGTTATGTTTCTGTTGGACAAGCGTTACCTAATTTCTCTTGTGACTTTGTAGATAGGGACGTGGTTGAGAATGATCTTTTATTTGTCTGATCTAGTTTATATTCTTTCTTATTTAACTTTACTGTCTTGCTAAGATTTTCTTGATCAGCTCATTTGAGACAATTAATGCGCAACAGTCATTTTATTTAGAGTATGATTGTCTAGAATGTTGACTTATCAGTATTTCCGGTGTTCTGAGAGACAGATACAATGATCTGCAAGATCTATGTTGTTTAAAATTTTACTTGTAATTGATGTGACAATATCCATGAGATCTGTGCTTGAATGTAGTTTGGGGAATGTATTGCATGTCATTTGTTTTAGGACTGACGTTTTCGGAGAGAAATAAGATGAAGTCTGAAATGCAAAGGTTCGTGATTTCTCAATTTGCTGTACATGTAATTGTTGTTTTTTTTTCTCATTCCTGCAAATCAATATCTTTGAAACGAAAGCTTCCAACAGATTTCTGGATCATTTCCTGTCTTCAGTTGTATCGAAAGTAAATTTTTTTTCCAATTTCATATATTTGCCAGTGGCCATTTTGACCTTTTTTTGTGCGAAGTTTGATTATGTGTATTGAATTAACACTCATAGTCCTAGACTATGTACATTTTGTAGTTCCAGTTCGAAATGAATATCCTCATTGCATCTGAATCTTATAAATTGCTTTTTCCTTTACCTCCTCTGACTCACCAAACACATTTAAGCTTAATTTATCATGTTGATTCCTTTTTTTGGGGGGGTTGTGGGGTGGGAGGAGAGTCATAAAAATGTGTGAACACAAAAACATAAATAAGTATCGAACAGAAAACCAAAAAATTATCAAAAAAAAATTATTCTACAACATTTCTTTCTTACCTCACCTCGCCTCACCGTCACTGGATTGGGGGAGAGTGCTCTGCGGCGGGCCGGGACACTCTAGGGGCGCCGCGTGCCTTGTCCGGCGGACCATTAGCCCGTGCGTGAGAGTACGAGAGCGAGAGAGACTGCGTGTGTTTGCGTTTGCACGGTGCACCATATGCACCCAGTATGTGAACGCCGCCGTTTCATTCTCCCTTCGCCTTTCATCAGTGGCTGAATCCGAACAAGTTGCCTGTCTCTCTCGCACCCCTACGACGCGCCCTGCGAGTGCGAGAGAGACACAGCGAGCTCTTTTCGGAATCTGGCTGGCACCGCACTGTGCGGCTATTCTCTCGTTTAATTGCCTACACTGTCGGCGGCCCGGGCCACCCACCCGCGAGTACGCGAGGGTCAAGGCGCAACGCTTAGCGCGCTTACCAGTGGTGCTGCTTTATAGCACTTTGTAGTGTAGCGGTCCTCGCGTTGCCCCATCCCTCCCATCCCATCCGCCCGGCCTGGCGCAGCCCAGCCTCGCCAGCGAACGGGGAAAAGTTAACTCGGGTTGACGATGTAATTGCTGGGAAGACGTGTGATGATGCTTCCTTGAGCTTGAGGCGGCGGCTCAGCTCGATTTTCAATGCAATTTAAATTTAATTTTGAAATTTGTGGGGCGAGGGGGGAGGGAATTCCCTGCCGCTTGCAGCGCAATGTCTGCAGTCTTGCGTAGTGTCGGGGTGCAATGGCTTGCCGAGTTTTTCTGAGCTTCTTCGTTTCTTTGTGACCGGCAGGGGACGACCGGACTGACTAGACGCGGAGACCAGCGACCCGCGCGCTGCCCCGCCCCGCCCCGCCCCGCCCCGCCTGCAGGCCGCGGTTTGTGCCTCGTGCATTGCAAACTCAGGGAAGGGAAACGTTTCTCACACACACTCCCATTATGCGTGGTCGCACGTACGTATTCGCCGCCAACATGGCCTGCTGCACCTTTCAGGCCTTTCAGCGAGCGCATGCATGCCAACAACCACTGCACCGTTTTCTGTTAGCATCGTGATTGTCGAAACACGGCCTTGACGCGCGAATATTTGCTCCCGCGAGAGCGTTTTGAAATTGATGCCGAGCGATTTTTCTCTCTGTCCAGTGTGGCGGCAACGGGGAGTCACTTTTCCCGTTTTGCGCCTTTCTCCGTTCTGATTTGCTTGCTTTGTAACATGTTATATACTGCGGCGGCCTTCCATACGGTGCCTCTTCACCTGCCCCCTCCCCGGGCCGGCCGCTGGTCCGGTGTCACCAGTTGACCGGAGGCGGGGCGGCCGGCAACAGGATCTTCCCCCCGCCCCCTCCCCTTCATGTCCTCCGAGCCCCGCGGAGCTCCTTATAGAATCCAGACGGAAGTGCATGATGCTGCATGCGGCTTAGGCGCACGTGTGTCACATAGTCACATAACGCCGTCCGATTTCAGTTTACTGCGAGGCAGAGTCCCGGGTTCGAATACCGGTGGCTCTTCTGTCTTTCCATTCAGCCGCCACTTCCGTAACCCGTTTTGCCGGGGCGGTCTGCGCTGTGACACTGTGCGAACGGCAGGCAGTGGCGGGTCCAGAAATGTCCAGGGGGGAGGGGTGATCGCAAAGAGCGACCACTGTTTGCTGACACTGGAGCCGAACTGTGTTCTGACTACACACTGGAGTGTGTTCTGGAGTGAGAACAGACCGAACCATTCAGGTGTTTGTGCTTTTGCCCCTCCTTCTCTTCCGAACGCCTTACCGCGGGCTGCGACCCAGGCCACCCGATGCACTGGTTATTGCAGCGTCAACTGTTTCTTTCTTCGGTGTGTGCGTGAGTGTGTGTGGGTGTGCGCGCGTGCCGCGTGTCCACCGTGCGGTACGCGCAACTACTTACTTCACTTCATGTCATGTCATCATTGAACTCGTCTCGTGCTCTATCCTCTCACGGGGTTCTGTTTCCCAGACTGCCCAGTGCGGGCTAGGCCTGCGCTAGCCCGGCGGGCGGGGCGGGCTGGTCGGGCGTAGGGCGGCCCCCGGGCTGGGCTCCGGCTGCCCCGTCAGGGCCCCGCGGTGCCGCAATAAGCTCTCGAGTTCGGCATGGATAGACAAGGATAGACAAGCTGCACCGACATGACGGCAGGCACGGCGGGCGGCCTTGGACCGTCCCTATGGGCGGTGCGTTTTGTTTCCCTCTCGAACGGCCCTCGACGAGTCGACTAGTCGACTGGCGAAGCGCGAAGCGAGCGAAGCGTCTCCTTTCAAACAGGAGAGCGCGCGATCGCTCCACTTCTGCTAACCTCGCGTCCCGCTACCGCCACACTGTACTGTACCGCCACGCGGAGCCCTCTTTGTCGGCTTGCGGGAGCACAGTGGGCCAGGAGACCGGCGCAGGCGGCCAACGCGTTTTGAGCTCCAGAGTCGCTAAGCAGGACTCGAACCGAGCGTGTGACCCCACCAATGGATTCCTCGTTTGGAGAGCAATCCATTGGTGGGGTCACACGCTCGGTTCGAGTCCCATTTAGCGACTCTGGAGCTCCATCCTGAATTTCGACCGCCTGCACCGGTCTTCTGGCCCACTGTAAGGGTCTCATCGCGGGGCATCGACACTGTGATTCGGCTGGCTGTGCGTCCCGCTCTTCCGCCTTTGTGTGCAACTCGATATGCAAAGCACGTGCACTGCCACGGACTACAGTGTGCTGCCTCCTCGCGCGTGTCGATTTCCCTCAAATCCTCCTTTCTAACCTAACCTAACCCCGCCATGTCGATATGCAACGCGTGTATTGCGAATGCGGGATCACAATAAGCTGGGCTTTCCCTTTCAAACGCACACACACACGCACGCACACGCATGCGCCCCGGGGTAGGCAGTGTCACATGAACCTGAGCACACTCACACACCGGCAGAGAGACACACACAGGACGTTGGGACATTGGGGTAATGCGGATCCACTCCAGAAAGTGGAGCCGAGGCCTGGGTGGCGGCTGGGCCGGGCGGGGCGATGGGGCAACACTTGCAGTGCAGGCTGCAGGTCGGATTGTATGCACGACACTCTCCTAACCCCAGCGGTGCCGGCAAGGCGAACAAGTGGGTGAACAAGGTGGATGCTGGGAGGGAGAGGGAGTTGAACCCCGGACTGGAGGATCGGCCGATCCAGCCCGCTCATGAGTCGCTGACAGCTCGCCCGCAGCGAGCCCGCGAGCCCCGCGCGCGGCACGCCGTGCATGTAGCAATGTAGGTGCCTTGGCGATGCCTTGGCGATGCCGCGGAACAGATGGAAGATACAGAAAGATGGCGGGATGCAGGAAGTGCGCCGTGGTCGTCCTTGGTCCGCCGTCAAGCCCTCGGTCTCGGTGGACACGGCGGCGGCAACATCACGACCGCTATCGAGAAAGCCCCGCGACGGCCGCGCCTTGGCCGCGCAGGCCCTGCGGCTGAGAGCGGAAAGCTGAAAGCAGGCGGACGTATACGAGCGCGCGAAATCCGGCATGCGGCCGCCAAACCACCCTCTGTCTCTCTCGCACCCCTGCGGCGCGCCCCGCGAGAGGGAGAGAGACGGAACGAGAGGAGCGCGACGCGGTCCGCCCGCCGCAGCGCTCGCCCGCAAAACCAGCGCGAAGCACTCAGGTCGGAATAATGAAAACATGTACCTACACTGTCCCTCTCCTTCCTGGGCGGTCGCGCCTCGCTTTGCAGTGCATCGGCCGGCACACAGTGTGGCATCACCGCCACACCCGCAAATGACCCGCGACTCTCCGGCGCGATAACGCGGGAAAAATGAATAAAAACAATTCCCGTTTAGACGAGTCCATTTCGCCACTTGGTTCGCCAGTCCTCTGTCTGCGGGCGTCCGTGTGCAACCTGCATGCCGATGAGCGGCCCGTCAACAGTGGTGCCGTCTCTCTCGCACTCACGGGGCGGTCCGCCTGGGTGCGAGAGAGACGGAGCGACTGGGAGGCAGCCTGCGGGCCTAGCTAGCCAGCCGCCACCGCGTTGCGCCGATCACCACATGCGATGCTGATTGGGCCAAGCGGTCCTGCAGCCTGGAGCCCTGCCGGCCCTGGCGGCCCTGGCCCGCGGGCCGCGAGGCAAGCCGCCAGCCCAGCGGGGACGGGGATGCGGCATGTCCAGCTGTGCAGCAGAGGTATTAGTTGCACGGCGTCGCGCTGCAGCCCCCCTCCCCCTTTGCACCTGCCGCGTGCATGCACACCACTGGCACACCACTGCACATGCACACACGGCCGCCAGTGTCGCAACATTCTGCAATCACAATTTGTAGTCCAAATCGGCTAAGCCGGCGCGCGCCCCGAGAGTTTAGCCGGTGGCTGGTTCGCGCCGTGCCGTGCCGTGGCGTGCCGTGCCTGCCGGGTATGTATCGGGCCCGACCTCCGCCATCGCGACCATCGCGCGGGTCCCGGGGGGCCGCGCCGCGCCGCAACGTATTCTATTCACCCGTCTGCTGTGCTGTGTGGCGGGCCAGCCGCACGCACGCGCTGCTCGTAATCAACGAGTGTGAAATCGTGCCCAGAGCGCCCAGAGCGCCGCGGAGGGCATTCCAGTGTTCGGCGATGTCCAGTGGCACCACACTCGCAACCTCCCCGGGCACTCGGGCAGAGCGACGAAACCGAGGTTCAGACCCAGCCAGCCAACCCCGTGGGTCGTCCATCAAGATGACCATAAGGGTGACGTCACTCCTCGACGTGTATGACGTCAGGGGGCCGGAAGGAAGGACGACGCGGGGCCTCGCACCGCGCCGACGACCGCGCCCGGCCGCGACGACGGCGGCCTAGTGGCGGCGGCGCCCCCCGCGCGTTAATTTATTTATCTATTCACATTCACATTGGGGAGGACTTATCCTCAATCACGCGGGCGGGCGGGCGCCGTTTACAACGCTGGAGCGGGGTGGGGCGGGGTGGGTGGGCGCCGGGGGCACGGTGATGGTGGTGGGGGTGAAAGTGCCGCCGTACGCGGGGAGCGGGAGTCGTGGCGGAGAAAGGTGGGGGACGGGGGAGGGGGGGCCCTCTGGCCGCCTGGCCGGCGGGGCGGCGGGGCGCACCGAGCCCTCCGCCGCGGCCCGTGGCCCCCGCGGCCCCCCACGCCCACCACTCGGCGGGAGAATGTGCACGGAATGAGATCTGCTTGCAGCGAAATAGAAAACAGTAACATCGCTCGGGACGTCCACAGTGAGTCTGCGCGCGGCGTCCCGTCGAGTCGAGTAGCGCGTCGCACAGCGCAGCCGCACGCAGCGGCCAACCGGAGCCTAGCGCGCCGAGAGCCGAGCCGAACCGAGTCGAGCCGAGCCGCCGCGTCCCGTTCTGGATTGAGTGTGGAGTGCAGTGCAGCAGTGCAGTGCTAGTGTTCGACGCCCTCCCTGGCGGTCACCCTGGCGGCCACCATGGCGGCGCCGAGGAGGCTGCTGCCGATGCTGCTCGCCCTCGCGCTGGCCGTCACCAACGTCGGCGCGGTGGAAGCCGAAGAGAAGGTCTCCGTGGAGGAGCCGACGCCCGCCTCGGACTTGGCGCACGAGGACGACGCCGAGCCGGCCGAGTACCGGGAATTCCAGCAGGTGAATCCCGCGACTGTGTTTCCGACTGCCACCGCTTCGGTCGAGGGTTCGAGTACTGGCGCCGGCAAGACGTCATTTGCGTTTTAGAAACCTGACATCACGTCTGCACAACACTCCGTCTCGTGTGCCTTGTGTGTGAGACGTTTATTTCAGCACGGGGAAGTCCACCTTTCGAAGCGAAAGTAGAGATGACACGAAATGTGGACGTCGCCTCTGCACAAGTCAAGGTTTGCGTGTCGCGGGTGTCGTGCCCCGCGTCTGCATTCTGAGTACACTGTCAACGCCGTTGTCGGCGCCGGCGTCGGCGTCGCTAGTCTAGTCCGCTGGTTCGAGGCACCGCGCCGGCGGGGGCGTGAAAGGATAACCCACTCGCCGGAGTGATTGATTGATTTTCAACATGGCAAGTGTCGCCGTAAAGAAGTCAACGTCCAGGACAACACTACTTTTCGTTCAAGTCTGTTTTCGCACGAAGCAGTCCATAAAAGTAAACTCAAATTGAAAGCAGTGTAGTGACCGCGCGCCGCCGCCGCCTGTTGCATGCCGCGGTGCTCCTCCCGAAACGCGCGGCCGACAGCTAGGTGCAATAATGCGAGCGTGCGTGTGTAAGTGTACGTGTGTGTATGCATGCGTGCTGTGAGTGTGCGTGTGTACGCGTGTGTGTGAGCCCCCAATAATACGTGTCGCGGTTGCGCAACCTATAAAGACTGCCTGTCGAGAGTGGCGCCGGTGATCTTCATTCTGGCGGAGTCCGTCCGCGTCGTTCAGCAGACGGATTCCCGGCAAGGGTCTCTCTCTCTCTCTCTCTCTCTCTCTCTCTCTCTCTCTCTCTCTCTCTCTCTCTCTCTCTCTCTCTCTCTCTCTCTCCTCTCTCTCTCTCTCTCTCTCTCTCTCTCCTCTCTCTCTCTCTATAAAAATTATTTGCTCCGAGATCCGTCCGAGCGGGGTTCCAGCCCGAAAGAGGTCCGTCGGGCTAGTCCGACGAAGCTCCAGAATGTTCCCAAATCGGCAACTTTACGGATGTGTCCGAAAACCGAAATGCGGGCTGGTTTCGGACTGTCCGAGTCTCGGTTCCGAAAAAAACCCGACGGCGGTAAGCCAGAGGCTAGCCGTATTCGAACCCTCGCTTCCCGCCTTCCTCTCTTTCTTTGCACACCAGTGCTGACGTCGGAGCCAACTGAGCTAACCCGACAGATGAGGACTGGGAGCTCCGGTGAGCCTCTTCACTGACTCTGCGCTGCGCTCTCCGCTCCGCTCCTTCCTCTGGGCGCTAGGAGGCGCGATTTTCAAGATAGAAGAGTGGGGATTTCTCAGGGGGACCTCGAATTTAAAATATTTTACGTCAAACACGTTTTCTTATGCATACCTGTATTTAAAGTTTCATGTTTCTACGGTTGTACGAAACAATTTAAATTAATTGACTGAATGCATTCTTGCAATTTTAACAACGTTCTGTGGTATTTGTTTCGGCACATACTCAGAAACGACAAAAAATTGCTGTATTTCCAATAATTTTTTTATTCTTTTCCTTACGAAAGGCGAATGTTTGAGATTGAACATTGCGGAATCACTTGGACATACCTCAACTGTAGCTGCGCTAGAGGAATATTTGTCTAAGTTCCAAAGCGAGGGGGAAACGGCACAGAATTCCGAAAACAGTCCGGAGGGGAGACCCTCGGACGTATTCCGGGTAAGTCCGCTGCCCCGGACTCCCGGCGGACCGACCCGGACTTTCCAGGGAGTCCCGGGCACATATCGGTCTGGCCCGTCCGAACAGCGGCCCTTTCGCGGACTAACCACGGAATCGTCCGAGGGCATTCGGACGCTTCTGGGGACAGCCCGAGGTGGCGGGGGCTCTTTCGGACGGCTGGCGGCAGGATTTCGGAACAATTCGTTTTTACACGGGCTCATGGGACGTCCCGCATGGGTGCGAGAGAGACAGACTGACGCCCCGCGGTCGGCCTTCCCTAAAGGCGTCCTTCGCGCCGTCATCCTGGACGCTACTCGCTCATGGGGGTGATGGGGTAATAGAGAGACGGTGCCGCACCGCGTGTAGCCCCCCCTCCCCCCCCCTCCGCTCCCTTCACATTAGGCATTCTCCGAGTGCACCCCCGAGTGATTGCATTGGCCAGTGATCCATGCACGCGACTCGCCTCGCAGACTCAACATGGATCGCTGTGCATTAATTTGCGCGTTTTTCCTCCGAGAGAAGCCAGCCATGCATAGTAACATGACGTCAACATTTATATACTGTGCTGGATTTCGAAAGCGGCAGCGATGAATTGCACGTCTTCGATTCGCGCAATCGAAATCGATGCCGTTTAGTTTGTGTTCCATTTCTGAGGGCAACTTTAAAAAGGAAGTACTATTTAACACGGTCCAAAAATTTTGGAGTTTTCAGCGGCAACACGGTATTTTAAACAACAGACTTTTCCCTGCCTTTTTGTTGTTTTTATTTTTGGTGGATTTTTGTGGGTGTTTTTAGAGCTAATTTTGCTTTGCGTGCAACTGTTGCCTTACTTCGGGCGCGCTGTGATCTTTGCCGCTGCGCGCTGCGCGTGGCGCGGACAGGCCCAATAACGTTTTGGAGGCGTCGTGAGCCGTGAGGGGCTCTCTGCCCGCCAAGGCCCCACAGCCCGCGGGGTGAAACTCGAGAGAGTCCCTGGAGATCGCGTCCAGATCGACGGCAAAACGAGCAAAAGCAGCAAAAGCTCGAGCTTCAAGAGCTCTTTGCCGCGCGGCGGCACCTCGTTCCTCGTGTTCAAACTTTACGGTGGGGCAACTTTTTTTTTATTGACCAAATCATTCCTTGTTTTATTATGCGCGCTACCCCCGGGGGTCTCGCTTTGCGATTCGCGACTAGCACCGGGAAATGTCAACATTTTTAGGGGCCTATCTCGCGAACGCAGCTCTGCCTGCACCAGTTGGTTCTGCGCGTTGAACACAGTGTAACGCGCCGTCGTTTCGAAACCTGCAACCCCCAGTGCAGGCAACAGGGAAAAGTCACCGTTGCGTCATGGTGCTGCCATTTTGACCACCGAGGTCAGAATTTCGCTGAAAACCGCATCGTCATTTTCGATGAGATTTTGACGTCCGTTGACCAGTGACCTTTCGGGTGCGGGCGCCTGGCACTCTCTCATGCATGCCGCTTGTCTAAGACCCTCGCCGATATCAGGCCTATCACAGCGCGACCCCCGCGGCGCGGCGCGGCCAAGACGGGTCCTTTGAATAACCACTTTGCCAGTGGGCTGATTCCGAATGCAGTGCGCTCCGTCTCTCTCGCACTCGCAGGGGCGCCGCGTGTGGGTGCGAGGGAGACAGACGTCCGGTCCAGCGCCTGGACTCGCATTAGCGGGGTCGGAATCACGTGACCCGCGGCCCGGCCGGCCCCGCAGCTTGTCTCCCTCGCCGACGTCTCGGCCGATGCACAGTGGGCCAGAAGACCGGTGGAGGCGGCCAGAACTCTAGACGCGTTTTGAGCTCCAGAGTCGCTAAATGGGACTCTGCAGCTCGAAACGCGTCTATAGTTTTGGCTGCCTCCACCGGTCTTCTGGCCCACTGTGCGATGGCCTAACAGTGCAACAGCCCGACGGTCGTCGACGTTGACGGAGTGGACGACGACGATCGGAAGGAAGCGGACGCCACGCCGCTCTCGCCGATTCGATCGGCGACAACCTGCACTGCCAGGAAACGATAGTAGTGTCCGACGAGTGGAAAATTTGGACGAGGTTGAAGGGATCGGGAGAAAGGATGCAGTTTAGGGACGACACAGGGAAGCAGGGTTCGCGGGAGTGGCACGTGGGTACCAGTGTGGTGGGGGGAGAGAGAAGGGGGTAGGGGAAGGCAGGCGCGCGACGCGGCCAGTAGAGCGATTCCAACCATCGCTCTGTCTCTCTCGCACCCTTGCGGGGCTCCCCGCGAGTGCGAGAGAGACAGCGTCAGGGCGGGAAGGGCTCCATTCGGAGCAATTATCGGCGCCGCTCTAAACGCCTCCACCGTTGGCCATCTTCACCGGCAGACAGACAGAGAGAGAGGGAGAGAGAGAGAGAGGCAGAGAGAGATCGGCTAACGAGATACGGTGGAAGCTGGAGCAAAGCGATCCGAGCAGCGATACCGTTCGCACCGGCAGCCCGGGCGTGGTGAGTCAACCAGGCCGTCCCGTGCCGCAGCGGTGGCGGGTGGCTGCAGCAGCGCGACCACGGCGTCGACAGCCACCTCCAGGACTCCTCCGAGTTTTCTCCCGACCAGACGAAAGGCACGCTTAATGAAATGTGGCACCGCGCCGCTGCGCTCCGCGGTTTCGTCGCTCCGTCTCTCTCGCACTCGCGGGGCGGCCCGGAGGGGTGCGAGAGAGACAGCGCACTGCGCAGTGTACTGCCGGACGGACGGACGGCCCGGGTGGACTCTGATGAGGAAGGCCGTTCGCTGAATGGCCCGGCTGTCGGCCTGCAGGCAGAGCAAGCAAGCGGGCAGGCCCTGCTGCCAAGATCAAGCGATTTTCGCCTCTGAATGCGTCTCGCCCCGCCCCGCCCCGCCCCGCCCCGCCCCGACGACGTGACGACGTCCCGTTCGGCAGCCAGGAAGTGGCTGCCGGCGGGGCGCCTCGTAAACAAACAAACGCATGTTTACTTTTATTTCTTTTCAAAATCGAAAACAGTTCTTTTTTTACCCGCGTTTGTTCGACGCTGTTCGTCCCGGAGCCCCTGCCAAGCTGCAGATAGGCCAGCCCGCCGAACAGACGAGCGCGGCGGGCGGCCTATCTGCAGCGTGGCAGGCGCTTCGTCGCGCTGTCTCCCTCGCGCCTCTGCGAGCCGGCCCGCGAGTGCGAGAGAGACAGCGTCCGTATCTCCTCGCGGTGCAGGGAAGCGATAACTTAGTCGGAGCGTATTAACTGCGCGCGTGCGGCGGACCCAGGCACCCAGGCCAGCCGACCCAGGCCGGCCAACCCAACGGACCAGACTTCCTGCGATTATGCCGGTCGCCTTTTTGTTTTTCTTGACCCC